AATAGTGGACGAAACGCCTACTTGAATAAAAATTGTCCATCGTATAAGTGGTACCCCCGTATTGGAGGAAAGTAATTTGATACAAAAAGTCCCAAAACTGCTCCCCATGTAGAAAAGAAAGAACAAGGGCATCCGGTTCGGGGGCTCCAGTGAACTATCTTTTCCCTCGTAAATCTAGGAGAGAGGAATTATAAGTATAGCCTGTGTGTCCCCTATCACAGGTCTTCTACGTTCTTGACCCAGAAACTATCTGGCAACGATTGCACGTTAGAAAAAATTGTTTGTGAATGCAAGGCGGCCATCAAAAAAAATAATAAAGGGGACCTCATCAACGCAATGTTTTGTCCAGAGCTGGGAACAGAGTATTAGACATCTGGCACTAACTTTAGCAGGTAACGACAGCCTGTGATTTGCGAGGGCCTGAAATTTTGTGGCAAGCGTCAAACAATTCAGGCGTTCCCCCGAGGCATGACAGAGTGTATTGACAATTCTGAACAATGCATAAAAAAACATTTTATACTCTCATATTCTATGGCCTGGCCTTGGCAGCCAGCTGGAGAACACGGGCATATGATTGAATAGGGGGTCTGCGGGACATACACAGAACCGCAATTCATTTCTTTTAGTAATGCCCACTGCCATGTGAGAAGTATAGGGCCCGAAAAAAAATGTAAATTAAAAAAATACCGTAACATGAGTTTCCATGCGATGGTCTGGCAAGGTTTGAATTTGGGTTGGCAACGCGATCTAAAAATTGTTGATGCATAAAGAGCAATGCTTTGATCCACAATCAACGCATACAGAATATTACGTGTTATAAAAAAACAAGCTCCAAACGCGGGCATCAATGGAAGGTATGTGAAAGACCAGGATCTGTACTAGACGACTGGTACTCGAGAAAAAAAAAACCAAAAGGTTTAGGAGCGGCAAAAGTACTGGGCACTCTGCTGCATATGAGAGTCATCAAAAATTGAAACCGACAACTGTTGATGTTTGTCACTTTAACACAAGTCTTGATTAGACTCAAGGCCTGATGTCTTCCATACAATGCGGTTTTGTGTGCAATTATCAATGTGACATCGTGATCTACTTACACTGCTTTTCCTTCCCTAAACGAAGGGGGGGTAAGCGTAGGGGCTTAACGCACGTTTGTACGGGGGCAGTTGAATCCAGCTATCGCTGCGTTTTTGGTTTTCCGCTAATATAATGTTGAACGCTGGTCATAGTGCTGACCTGATCAAAGATATTGACCCGTTCAGCACTATACTAGCAACATGGCTGTGGTCTTTATTGTACATGGGCGTGATCATATCAAGGGGTGGGTCAAATGAAAAACCCCCACAAAAACCATACCCCCAACACACAAAAAACCCAAACCCCACCAAACAAACAAAAAAAAAAAAACAAACAAAAAAAAAACAAACACACAAAAAAAAAAACCCACACCACCAAAAAAACACAAAAAAAAACAAACAACACCACAAAATAAAAAACCAACAAACAAACCCCCCACACAAAAAAAAAATATTACAAAAACACAAACAACAAAACCCAACACACACCCACACACACCAACACAAAACAACAAAACAAACACACAAACACACCAACAACAAAAAAAAAAAAAACAAACCAAACCCCCAACCCAACAAAACAACATCCAAACAAAACACAAAAAACACAAAAAAAATAAAGGGGGAGGGGGTGTGTGCTGATCGAGGCAGAGAAACCCTCTGCAGCTTGTCACGAGCTGAGCAACTGACAGATAACAAGGCTGTGTGTGTAAACAATGCAGCCGTGTTATCTGTCAGTGATCACAGCTCATCGCGGCCAAAAAGCCGGTAATCACTGGCCGGGACCCGCGGCTGGGGACCCGCTGATGACAGGTAGGGCCCGCGGGACAGGTAGGGCGTGCACCCCCTACCTGTTTTGCAGAACCACGTTTTAAAACGTGGTTTTGCCTGTGAGTGCCGCCGCCCTGCCACCGTATATCTACAGTGGCTGGGCGGCAAGTGGTTTAAACAAAGGAAAGACTATACTTTTTACTCTCATGCACACGAGATGTATTCAAGATTGGATTACATACTGTTGGACCATAGGATTATAGAGTCTCTGGTCAAAGTAAATATAGAAGTTATGTCGATTTCTGACCATGCTCCTGTCACAATGCAATTGCTATGGGGTAATAAACAGAGGGGAGGAAAAATTATGGAGGTTAAATGAGTCACTTCTCCAGGAGAAAGAGACGAAGTGGAAAGTTAAGTCGGAATAGAGCAATTCTTTGAAGAATATGACTGAGGAAGTGTCGGTAGCTACGGTGTGGGAAGCACACAAGGTCTATATTAGTGGTATTTTAATAGCGATAGGAGCAAAAAAGAAGAAGAGGGAAAGAAGAGAAAAAGGTAAACTTAAAAGGGAACTCTGATTTAGAGCTGACACATAAAAATAGAGTAACAAAAGAGATCACGCAGAAGATAAAAAGAATTAAATAACATCCTGGAAGAAGAGAAGAGGGGAGTGTTTAATAAAATAAGTGAGAGGGATAGATGGGGGGATAGACCAGGAAAGTATTTAATGAGGGCTCAGAGGGAAAAAAAAAAAAAAAAAAAAATCTAGGAATTATATTTAGAAAATGATAAGGAGAATTGGTTCATTCAACCAAAGACATAGTAAAAGTGTTTAAAGAATATTACAATAAGTTATATAATATTAAGCCTCATGGTGCCATAGGGGAAGATGAAGTAAGAGATAAAGAGAGAAGACAGGCATATTAAAAAAAAAGGCAGGATTACCGAAATTAAGCGAATTAGAATCCCCAGAAACTGCAATAAAACGCAGGAAGAAATACATCTTGCATTAAAAAGCACCGTAGCTGGGAAAAGTCCAGGACCCGATGGGTATACAGTGAGATATTATAAAAAGTATGAAGAAATTCTATAATCTAAATTGAGAATATATATATATGAATGCTTTGGGAGGAGAGATGGAGATGAGGGAATCCCTGCAAGCTCATGTGGTTCTCATACAAAAAGGAAGGTAAATACTCACTGCTCAAGATATAGACCAATTTTCTTATTAAATATAGATACTAAACTATATGCAAACGTACTGGCAACTAGATTGAAGGACTTAATGCAGAATTGGATACATATAGATCAAGTGGGGTTTGTCCCAGGGAGAGAGGATAGAGACAACAGTTTAAGATCTTTGTTCCTTATACAAAAAAAGTAGGAAAGAAAGAATTCCGGTGTTGGTACTTTCGATTGACGCTGAAAAAGCATTTGACAGAGTAAAATTTGGGATATATGTTAGATACCCTAGAAGTAATAGGCATGGGACCTAGAATGAGAGACTGGATTAGGAAATCATATAGCCAACCCTCGGCAGCAATAATGGTAAATGGGGAACTATCCAAGTATATTGGGATGCAGAATGGAACAGGACAGGGATGCCCTTTGTTGTTATATGTACTGTCTTTGGAATCTCTTTTGGCTACCATTAGGAATAATATAGATATAAAAAGGAATTTGGATAGGAGAAATCGAGCATAAAGGTGAAAGCTTATGCAGATGACTTTATTCTATGTAGCAAATTCAAGGATAACATTACCAAATTTAATGAAATCTTTAAAAGAATATGGAGAGGTGTCAAACTTAAAAATGAATCCAACTAAAAACAGAGATCTTAAATATAAACCTTATAAAATAGAGAGAAGAAAAAATGTTACAGGAGGAAATCCCTTTTATTTGGAGGGAAAGATTTAAAATATTTGGGTATAAAACTTACTGCATCTTTAAAGAATCTATATAGATTAAAATATATCCCACTATTAAAAAGAGATTAAGGACGAAATAAAGAAATTAGGAAGAGGATTTCAGTCATGGATTGGTCGGATAAACTTGATAAATATGGTAATCATTTCTAAAATTCTATATAAAATTTCAAATGATACCAAATAAGCTCCTAGAGGCATATTTCAGAATTAAAAAGGCAAATTTCATTTTCCAGCAGGACTTTGCACCTGCCTACAATGCCAAAAGTACCAACACCTGGTTTAATGATCATGGTATTATTGTCCTTGATTGGCCAGAAAACTCGCTTGACCTAAACCCATAGAGAATCTGTGTGGTATTGTCAAGAGGAAGATGAGACACCAGACCCAACAATGCAGATGAGCTAAAGGTCACTATCAAAGCAACCTAGGCTTCCATAACACCTCAGCAGTGCCACAGGCTGATCGCCTCCATACCACGCTGCATTGATGCAGTAATTCATGCAAAAGGAGCCCCGACTAAGTATTGAGTTACTTTTAAGTAAGCCAACATTGCTGTATTAAAAATCCTTATTATTGGCCTTATGTAATATTCTAATTTTCTGGGATACTGAATTTTGGGTTTTCACTAGCTGTAAGCCATAATCAACCTGCGTGTAATGAATCTATATAAAATATACAGATTTAATTTTTTAATTGAATTACTGAAGTTAACTTTTTAGTGATATTCTAATTTATACACACACACACACACACACACACACTGACCACATTGAGGCAGATGTGCTCTTATGCCTAGCGTGGTCCGTTTGCAATATGAAAGCAGGAGAACGGCCATAAAACCAAGTATTTTACACAAAAGAAAGCAACTAAAGAGCACAGGATACTTTTTAACACAATTATATGGTAAAACATACACATACCAGAAATAAATGTTAAGTAACATACTCCCAAGTAGAACTGCAGGAAAACATGCACCCTTTAAAGCACTAGAAATAGATTAAGTCAAAACTACGGATATGCTTCTGTAGGTTCCAAAGGGAGAGTACATAAGGCCAATCTGTATTCGCAATGAGAGTGCAGAAGAATGATTGTGCACAGATTCAAATGCAAAGGACCACACATCCATTAGGAGTTTTAAAACTCCAGAAATACATTAGTATTAGATCCTCCTATGAAAAAAAAAAAAAAAAAAAAAAAAAAAAAAAGTGTGGTTGTAAGGTACTAACCTGATTTGTCTGAGTGTATCAATCTTGACTCTATTGTAGCCACCATAGTCCACATAGAGGATCTCAACTTCTTCGGTATCTTCAAAATAGCCCATTACTTGTGCTCTCCACCAAACACTGGGCCCAGCAGGTGCAGAACAGAGAATCCCAACTGTAAAAATACATTTTTAGAATTCACTTCATGATAGGACAGGCTTCTAGAGGGTTGTATAGTCATAATTATATAACAGCAAGTGCATACCTTGAATTATTTTTGCGGTTTACTTTAAAATGTTATGAGCCACAAGCCTACACTGTTATGGAGGCAAATATGCAGAGCTTCAGATTTTGAGTGGCACTCCACTTTAATAATCTCTAGAGGAAAGGAAGGTTAGCCACTACTATTATTTTTGCCTGCTTGCTTAACAAGCTTAAAAAGGGACATAGTCATGAAAACTTAATGGAGGTGACCATTACTGAACTCTCCTTTGAGAATGCGAGTTCCCCTGCTGGCCAAATGTGCTGTCTGAGTTGCTAATCCTGAATAAGTACAAAGAAAGAATAGTTCTAACGTGCACACTCATTTACAGCTAACTTCTGACCATAGTTAGGCTAGGACTACACTAGTGATTAAGTAGACAACTGCTTCATTCAAAATCAAATTACCACCAAAAAAAAATAGATATATCTTTACAAGTTAAAAATGACTTTTGAACCCATAGTCTTGGTACACAGTATATCGGAGTTCCAGAAAATAGGTGGTGGGGAACGGATGTCACAATGTACAGTATGGAGCAAAGAACGGTCTAATCTGAGATCTGAGTGGAGGGAATGAACACCCCCCTCCCCCCCTTTAGTGTCACAAAACATGCACAGCCGAAGTGGTCATTCACCTGATGTGTTCATCAGGGAGGGGTACCTGTGCAGTTTGGTCCTTGTAAACAAACCATAAGGTATGTTTGCCAGTATTTCTCATTCTGGCCTTTTAGGGCCATATTGAGATGATAGATATATATCTTTTGGATCTCTGAATCTAGTTAACCACTGAAATAGTGAGTGGCGTTGTTTCCACAGTGCTGAAATGGAGTCTATAGCAGTGTTACGGTGGTGTTGAACCCCCTCACGCCTAGGGGTAAAACAAATCTTACAGCACAAGTAACATTTTACAACTTTAACATGTGTTCATAAAACTGTACATTTCATTACAAACTACTTTATACCTTGGTTTTTTTCAGGACAAATTGAGCTTCATTTGGTGGTAAATTGGTAATGGATATCACCTGATTTATATTTTTTAATCAAAAGGAAAACTTGTTCAAAATAGTTAAAAAAAAAAAAAAAAAAAAAAAAAAAAAAATTAAATTTAGCTGTGTGTTTGTTACTACCATAACCTACCACCAAAGAACCCCCCAAAATAAATTTTCCAGCTCTTGATGATTGCAGCGATGCCATGTGTGTTATTTGTTGTTTGTACCTGTAGTACAGCCCAGAAACAATAGTGCACATTGTTTTTTTTTTACCCAAAAAAAAAAAAAAAACACTGACCTTTGACCCTGACCCAAACACTAACCCTGGCACTGAACTAGATCAAACCTTATCTAGACATTTAATATTGAATTTATTTTTTACAGGTTTTTTTTTTTCCTCTCTCTGCAATGAGAGAGCGAGAGAGGGCAGCACAAAGACAGGTATGCCAATATGCGGCCCCATGGAAAAAAGCCCACTTCTGTGAGGCCGCATATTTTTATTATGTCGACGCCAAGGGGTTAAACAATTTGGTTTTTTTCCCTTGGCTTTTAGGTATTTGTTACACTGACAAGGTTGTTCTAAGCTGAAGTGTAAAAAGGTTATGGGCAAGCTAGCTTAATCAGAATTTCACAGGAGAGCAGTGGTCTGAGCCGAGGATCACTGTGGTAAACAAACAATAACATGGTTATTTGCACCAAAGGGAAACTACTTGGAATGCGGGAGGCTTTCGCAACAGGGAAACGCAAACCACAAGTACAGAAAAAAAAAAAAAAAAACTGAACCACAATGTGAAACAAGTGCACAAACTTACCTTCTGCAGGTGTGGGCAATGTTGGAACACCAGGCTGTGAGTAACAGAGGCTCATGTGCTGATCCAAGCCACAAAGTGCATGAAAGGTAGGATGCGTGCGCTGCTGGACAAATATGTGCCCTGCATTCACTACATTAACCACAACTACTTCCACTGAGACATTATTTGGGAGTGTGAGCTGGAACAGGGGAAAAAAAATACATTTAAAAAGAGACACCCATGTATTATGTAGTTCAACTATGTACTACTTGACCTGCTAACAAAAAAATAATTATATATACACATACACACACTTTGTTATAAGATGTACAAAACACTACTCCTCACTATTGATAAAAAATACATACATCCAAAACAAACACTAAGGCTACATGAACTACAAGCACAATCCCACATTCACATACATTGAATTTTAGTCTACATTGCTTGGTGTGTCCCAAATGTGACAAGTACATGTAAATGAACCCATGTGATCAACCTCTAAACCATGAAGAAACTTACCCATGATGCAACAGGAAGAGGAATCAGAGGAGGAGGAGGTGCAAATATGTTTGTTAGATTCAAGTCCTTGAATTTCTTCTTTCGGATTAAACTCAGAGCTCTGTCTATCTGCTGTTGAGAACCTGTTAAAATTTTGCAATTATTGTCCTTTCCATACTTAACACAAGCATCCAAAAAGACAAAGGCAAATTCAAACACTAAAAACCAAAGGGAACTTGTCTGATTAGAAATCCTAGAATTTCAAAAAGAAGGATTTTAAAGAGGAGCAAGCTTACTACTTTCCTCAAGTCACAAACAAAAAAGGAAGTTAGTTGCACATTATGGGTCCTAAAACTTCACAGGCATTTTGCTTGTTCCAGGTCAGTAACTCACGAAACAGTGAATGAGCATGACCGACCTACAGGCCTGCATGCTCAATAATAATCCATATTAATTTTGACCCCTAGGACATTTCTGTGCCCAGGAGTTCCTGGTGATGCCTACAGGTGGCTGTATGCGGTTATGCATCACAACTTGTGCATATGCTCCATTTTAGGTAGACGCAAGTCTGTAAAACGCAGCTAGCCTGGGTTAGGGAAATGAACATATGCAACACAGTATAACATGCACATCAGGGTCTTACATTGTTTCAGTTAACCATCTTTTTATCTTATAAAACTAGGAGAGCCATTTTGACTTTGGGTTATTTAGGAGTGGATCATGTGTTTTGATTTTAGCTAAAATGTTATACTTTATATCACAGTGCAGAAGGCTAGTAGATATAGGGTTGCAGTGATTAAATGCCAGTTACACCTCAAATGATATATTAGTTTGTATATTTGCCAGGAAGATAAAATTTCACACTGACCTTCTCTGCAATTCCCAACTTTCTGAGCTGCAACAATTACTAAACCAAGGGATGATGTCAGTCACTCTCAAATGGATTACAAATAACTGCAGAAGATGCAGCATACAAGGGTAACCCTATTGAGAAAGATTGGGAAGCCTCACAACTAGAAACACCAAGAGATTCAGAAGCCAATGGGCACGTCAGCCCATATTTGCCTGCTAAAATCTAAAATGTCATCTTCAGAACAGATCCCTGCCAAAGTGATGTAAGGAATGGTTCACACCAATGTTTTTTTGTTTTTTTAGGGCTTTTTGCAGAAACACACAAGGGTCCATTTAACATGGTTTCCTATGAGACATGTTCACATACAGTATAAGCTTTATTGAGCTGCTGCGGGTTTTTTTTGGAAACTGTCGGACTTTTTTTTTTTTTTCTTTAAAAGCAAAAAGCAGCATTTTTGCTACAACACAGTTCAATGGACACGATGCTGAAACACATTTCTTCTTCTCTTTCAGCGTTTTTTCCCTTTTAACAAAAAAAAACAAACAAAACAAAAAAAACCGACAAAATGCAACAAGCATTTGTGTGAACCAAACCTAAATGCAGAGTTCTGCAAGAAAAAAAAAAAAATTAGCTAAAACACTCACCTTCTAAATGACAGATTTGGATATCCTGTGTATAAGGCACAGTAGAGATATATATTTTGGCACCCGATGACTGCTTCAAGAAACTCACAAACCTGCCTTGTTTCCCAATTAATCGGCCAACCAAATACTTTAAAAAAAAAAAAAAAAAAAAAAAAGAGAAAAATAAGAATTAGCAATTGTGGTCAAGGTGTCCAGTGTTAGTTTATCTTTACAATTTTTCTTTAAGGGTAAACCCAATACACGTCATGGGTGGAGTGAAAAAAAATTGGATTTTTTTTTCTACATAGCTACCTGTAAAATCCATTTCTTGGAGTACATCACGGGACACAGAGCAGGCTATTCAGGACTATGTGGGTTATAGGCCACCTATAGGTGAATGGACACTGGCCAACCAGAGAGGAGGTCCTCCCCTATATAACCCCTCCTATGCAGGAAGTACCTTCAGTTTTTGTAGCAAGCAATGAAATTCCAGAAAGAGGGGTGAGATCTCTGTGTCCCGTGATGTACTGCAACAAATGGATTTTACAGGTAGGCATTTAGAAAAAAATCCAAGTTTTCTTATCGTACATCACAGGACACAGAGCAGACTATTCATGCCTATGTTGGATGCCCAAAGCAATAAGAAATTTGAGGGGAGGACGACACCATGAAAGCCACCGTCAATCCCTCAGGACCTACTCAGCTGTCCGTTAAACACTGCAGCCGAAAGGCAAAATCCTCTGCGAGTCAGACATCCACCTGATAAAACCTTGTAAATTTGTGAACCGAAGACCATGTAGCGGCCTTGCAAACCTGAGCCACTGCCGCCTGATGGCAGATTGCCCAAGACGTCCCCACACTCCTGGTGGAGTTTGCCTTCACCTGAAAGGGTGGGACTTTGATCATTCAAGCCTATTGTTTGAAAAGGTAATTACTGGATCAAATGAGGAATAGTCGCCTTGGATGTGAACACGAACTACATCCAAGGTATGCAGAGATCTTTTTGCCGACTGAGGCCTAGGAAAGAATGAGGGCAGAATTATGTCCCGATTGAGATGAAAACCAGAAACCACCTTTTGTAAAAAACACAGAGGAGGTCGCAACACCACCCGATCATGATGCAAAACCAGAAACTGAGCTGGCAGCTCTATCTTGCAGAGAACAGACACCCTTCTTGCAGAAGTGATTGCCACTAGAAACAACACCTTACAAGTCAATAGGAGCAGTGGAATCTCTCCAATAGGTTCAAATGGTGGCTTCTGCAAAACCTCCAAAACCAAGTTCAGGTCCCAAGGACACAAAGGCAACCTGACAGGTGGAGCCATACACATTGCTCCTTTTAAAAAAGTGCGGAAGTGAGATGCAATGGGCCTCTGGGTGCCATTTGTGACCCTCACATCAGGCAATGTAAGCATTCCAGGTTTTGTAATAAAAATATTCCTAGAAAACTTCCTTTAGCACCCAACATGATGGGAATGACAGAATCCAACAATCCCCTATCCTTCAGGATCTGGGTTTCAATAGTCACGTTGTCAAAATTAGCGACCGCAAAGCTGAGTGCAATATAGGACCTTGAGAAAACAGGTGTGGCCGATAAGGCAGAGCCCATGGCCCGTCCACTGCAATCTTCACTATGCCCGCGTACCAGGCCGAAGCAATCAGTATCACAGGAATAGACTTCTCTCAAAACCTGCGTAAAAGATGCAGTGGCAGCTGGATCGGAGAAAAGGCATAAAATCAGTAAGAACTTGTTCCAAGGAATCACTGAGGCATCTACCACTGATGCGCAAGGATCACTTACTCTGGACACAAAAAGACAGACCTTGTTGAACCTGGATGCCAATAGATCTACAACCAGGCAACCCCATCGCTAGCAGACTTTTTTGAAAACATCAGGATACAAAGCCCATTCCCCTGGATTCATCCGCTAGCGACTGAGATAATCCACCTGCCAATTTTCCACAGCTTGAATGAACACTGCTAACAGACTTGGAACATCTCTCTCTGCCCAGATCAGAATGTAGCTCACCTACTGAGCACCTCAACTCCTGGTACAGCCCTGGTGGTTGATGTTTGTGACTGCTGTGGCATTGTCAGACTGAATCCTTGCAGGCCAACCCTGAAGCCTAGATGACCAATATCTCAGAGCCAGCCTCACTACTCAAAGTTCCAGGACATTGATAGGAAGAACCCTCTCCCGTGGAAGCCATGTTCCCTGAGCTGTAGCCTCCTCCAGAACAGCCTCCAACCTGAAAGGCTTGCATTGGTGGTTACCAACTTCCACACCACTGGCTGAAAGGATCTTCCCTTCTCCAAATTGTGAGTTATCAACCACCAATTCAGGCTCTGCTGCACCTCTGAAGACATATGCAGTAATCCAGGGTGGGAATCTCTTTGTTCCAAACAGACAGAATGTACTTTTGCAGCAGTCTGGAGTGGAATTGAGAATAGGGAATAGCCTCGAACAAGGACACCATCATCTTCCCCAGAAACCTCATGCAGAGCTGAATCAAAGGATACTTCTTGGCCTTCACACTGCAAGCCTTGTACCTCAGGGCACGTTTCCCTGGAGGCAGAAATATCTTTTCCTGAACCGTGTCTAGGACCATAACCAAATATTCCAGGCTCTGCACTAGTTCCAGGACTGACTTCTTGAAATTCAGTACCCAGCCCAGTTGTTCCAGGATCTGCATTATAAAGACCACATCCTGCTTCAGATCTGGCACCGACCAATTTCTGAGCATGAGATCTAGAAAGCCTGTGACCGATACTCCCTTAGTTCTGAGTAGTCCAAACACCAGAGCAAGAATTATTGTGTAAACTCAGAGCCGTGACCAGCCCAAACGGTAGTGCTATGAACTGGAAATGCAGAGCCCCTACTGCAAACCAAAGAAATCTTTGGTGAGGAATGAATATCTGTATATGCAGGTATGCGCCCTTGATGTCCAAGGACACCAAAAAATCTCCCTCCTGTAGGGAGGCCACTACTGACCGAACCGATTCCATACAAAAGGATCGGACATATAGGAACTGATTTAGCCCCTTGAGGTCCAAAATGGGCATTACATCCCAGTTTGTTTTTGAGACAAAACCCCTGAAACCTTTCCCCGCTGGAACTTCCGTGATTACTCCTTGAGCCAATAGGCAACAGAGTGCCTAAAATAAAGCTCTTTTCTCTGGATTCGCTAGTACATCTCTCAGCAGCAGCAGCCTACGCGTGTTCTGGCTTCCAGATAAACAAAATATGGCTGACTTCCGTTTCCGGCCGTACTCCCTCTAGTGGCCAGAAACAAAGAACAAGCACATCAGGAACAGTGAGCACTCCCCCTGGTGGAAACTCAGTCACAACACCTCTCCTTTTCCCTCCAATTTAGAGCTTTGTTTATCTTCACAGACAGAAAGGAGATATCTTACCAGTCCCGCCGCAGGTCCCCGACTTCTGTCAGGCACCAACCTTCACCCATTACGGCGGGCATTGTCATACAGACCTTCAAAGGACTCAGTCCCCATGCTGAGGGGCTGCTGCCTCGGACCTGCACAGCACCCCGCTGGAAGAGCCTTGGACAGATTTATAACTGCATAGGTCTAATTAATCTGGAAGTACCTGCGGGATTTCTCCTGGAAGTCAAAGAATGCCCAAATACCAAGTCTTTCTGGGACAATTTGCTGCCGCCAAGATCACCAAATGTCTGGTACCATCCATTTTAGCTCATAGCCTTCTGAATGGATCTGATTAAAGTCCCAGATTCTCTAATGGAACCATTATAAACTTTCATCAATGCTCCAAGAGCACAGCAACACCTTCAGTGACCATCCACCTTACAGACATTGGTGAAAAAACTGAGGTACTTTCTGTATAGGAAGGGTTATATAGGGGAGGACCCCCTCGCTGACTAGTCGGCAAATGTCCATTCACCTATAGGTGGTCTATAACCCAGAGTCATGAAAAGTCCTGTGATGTACGCATAAAAAAATCTTAGTATATCCCATGTCAGAGAACTAAGGTGGATAGAACACAACTTTGAGGTATACACACTACCTTTGGCACTTCAAACTCCCATATCACAAGGTCAGCCTTTTTTGCATCAGACTTCTGCTTCACATTTTGAAATTGCTCACTATTTCCCAAAGCACAGCCACTATCCACAGAGTCCATGCTGTTTACATCCGATCCTAAAACAAACAAAAAATTATATAAAATGTATTTGTCATAAAACGAAGCCTTCCAGGCACATTACAGAAATTGAAATTAATTTCGAATTTCCCCCCCCTATAAAACCCTTGAGGGATACAGCTTTTTGATTAACAGGCAATCTAGGTTTATGCTACAGCCTACAGAAGAAATGGATATTAGTTACATAGAAACTGAAGATTCACCTCCAAGAGGCTATAGCCCCTCCCTATAGTTGTAGCAACCCATCTAAAGAGAAAGGCTATAGCCCCTCCCTCACCTGATCAGTTGTAGCAACCCATCTAAAAGAGAAAGGATGAAGCACATCTCTTGCTTTAGATCAGCGTTTTTCAACCACTGTGCCGCGGCACACTAGTGTGCCGTGAGATATTGTCTGGTGTGCCGTGGGAAAAATTGCAATTTCATCCGTAACATGTGGCCTCGGCTCACAAATAGACCAATCATTAGAACAGCAATGGGCAAACTACGACCCGTGGGCCGTACACGGCCCGACGGACCTTTTAATCCGGCCCGCGGAGCGTGATACTGTCAGGATGATCTGTCCCCCTAGACGTATCTGCGCATGTGCCGGAGATCGCCGATCGGCTGCTAATGCCTGAAACTGGCACATGCGCAGATACGTCGAGGGGGACAGATCCTCATAGGAGACAGATTTTCATGCTACACCGGAACGGCAAGAGGAACGCGCGGAGCAAAGGTAAGTGAATTGACACAGGGGGGGCTTGGGGACTTAATATGGGGGATGAATTACTATGGGGGATGAATTACTATATGGGGGATTAATTATTCGATTCCTGCCAGAATATCAGCTTTGTGTTCAGCCAAACAGGCCCAGGTTTCGCACTGAGTAAGTAAACAGAAATATGAACAATTATAAAATACTTTATTATTTCATAATAAAGTAATTATAAAATAATTTGTGTGTTTGATTCCTATTCAAGAGAATTACTTTATATATAGTCAATATAGGCACAGGAGGTAAATTTTTTTAACATTTTCTAATGGTGGTGTGCCTCGTGATTTTTTTCATGAAAAAAGTGTGCCTTTGCACAAAAGGTTGAAAAAACACTGCTTTAGATGACACGGACACAAAAGTTGGTAGGATAGCTCATATAACCCTTACCACTCTCAAAACCCTCAGTTTCAAGCAAGAAATTAGGGGAAAAAAAAAAAATAAAAAAATAAAACCACCAGGACAGAGGGGAATGTGTCCTCTTCATCAAGAAAAGGATTTTACAGGTACAGAGTTAAAAAATTCTTCATTTTCCAGTCGTACATAACACAGGCTTCTTTAAATCTTGACCATAAAATGTCCCCAAGCAATAACACTGAGTGGTGGCCAACACAGCAAAGAAAGCTAACAGGCCCAAAACAAGGGAACCAGGCTCCCAACGCAGAGTGTCTTACCTTACAGTTGAAGCTGGTGTCAACACATGCTTGCGCAGTCAACTGGATAATCTTAATAGAAGACATGGCATGACATAGCCTTGCAAATCATAGCCAGGTGCTTAAATAGCCCAAGAGGCACCAACTGATAAAAGTCCAGGGAGCATTAACTGGGAAGGGAAATTACCTACCCTTCAAAGCATTAAGCCTTCATAATATAACCTGCCTAATACACCTAGAGAAGGTGGACTGAGAAGTAGGACAAACCTTGTAAGAGATCCCACAGGCAGAACAGAGAAGCCGAGGTTCAGATGGACTGTACCCGAGTGGCAAACTGTGTGGCTGGGGGAAGCTGCACCTTCCTGCAGGCGGTTGTGCTGGCTACACTTTTTTTTGTTCAACCCACCAGACTGGAAAAAAAAAAAAAAAAAAAAAAAAAACCCCAAAAAGCCTGACAGATCGTCATACTAAGACAAGCAATGTTAGTATGGTAATCTCCCGTGCCCCCCCCAAAAAAAAAAAAAAAAAAAAAAAAAAAAACACACCATACACTATTCCTCCCCCTGACAATGATGGGGCAACTAATCCTCCCTCTGACACCAATGATGGGGCACTATTCCTCCCACTAATACCAATCATGGGGCATATTCCTCCCACTAATATTCCTCCTTCCACTGACTACAAGCACTGTTTTTTTACTTCAGAAGCCGGGACATTTTCTACTCCCACTGGCCACTCCAGCCCTCCTAAAATCTGAAGGACCTCCAGCCCATTGTTTGAAAGTTTGGAAATCCCTGCTTTAGAGTAATATCAGTGACTCCTGTAGATAGAGATCAGCCACACACACATCTTTGGAGTCAGGCTAGTCCTCACAGAGGAATGTGCTTTGTTAATTTCTCCTGTTTGGGCTTTAGAAGCACTTTAAAGTGGCTATAAACCTAAAACTTATTTTTACACCTTCATGCATTCCCAGAATCAAGGCAAAAAAATGTGTAGGCAACAATATTGCCCCCCCTGCACCCCCTTATACTTACCTTGAGCTAGCGATGTGTCCATCTGCAGCCAAATCGTATCTACGGACACAGGCAACGAGGCTCGGGATCGAACCCGCAGGCATGTCACAATAGGAAGTGGCTTCCTGTGGTGGCACACTGAGAAGGAGGAGGAGCCAGGAGAGCCAGTGAGGGACTCGAGAAGGATCAGGGCCACTTCTGTGCAATTCTACTGAAAAGAGCAGGTAAGCGAAATGCACTATATAAAAAAAAAAAAAAAAAAAAAAAACACCACACAAACAACTTTATAATCACCTTTATATATAATGACCATTGCAGAGACTTAATCCTTCAGGATGTCCAAGGTCAAATAGAGCACCATTCCAGGAGGACAGGATACAATACAATACATCTTACACAGTATTGTCGTGAAGATTCAGTGACTCAATGTGCAAAGTGAGCCTTTTCAACTGTCATAATAGACCTGGCAAGGAGGTTGATTTAAAAGATTTAAGCAGTTAAGGAATAACAGAATCAGAGACCCGATCTCTCTGAACCTGTGTTTCAAATAGGTAAGCCATCAAAAGCCAGTGACTGAAAGCATAGCAGACCAGTCCTTGAGACCATAGGTCTAGTTAATCTGAAAGTACCTGCGGAATTTCTCCTGGGAGTCAAAGAATGCCAAAATACCAAGTCTTTCTGGGACAATTTGCTGCTGCCAAGATCACCAAAATATCTGTCATCTTGATCTTGTGAAGCGGCCAAGGAAGAACCCTTAGCAGGAAAGAGAGGTGCATTAGCCGAAATGTACGACGTGAGGTCAACCGTGCATCCACTACAAACTTTGACTCTCGATTCTGGCCAGAAATCTTTCTACCTTGTTGTTGAAGTAGAATGCCAACAGATCTATGTCTGGCATACCCCAGCAGTGACAGATGTTCCAGGACACATCGTGGTGAAGGGACCATTCTCTCATTTAGGCATAGACATGGTTGTCAAAAGGAGTCCAGACTTCCAATCAACATTCTTAGAATTGGGGGCCATTCGCCTCTTCCTGTTGTCAGTTAGACAATGCCACAGCACCCTTCGAGGAGTGGGCCTAACTTTGGCTTGGACGGACTTGCACATTAAGCCTTGTCAACGATCAATCCACATTTAAGGAGCAGGCAATCCGCAGACAGCTTTATCTGGTTTATCTAAAGATAAAGCCTGCCTGCCAATTGTCTACTCCATAAATTGAGTCTATTGGGAGGAGCTCCCATTTATGGATTACTGAGGAAACCCTCAGGATCGATTCAGGATTGCAAGTCATGCATTTGGTCCAGGCTGGATTTTTGGCAAATTGAGACACCACCAGCGGCTGGATGGCCAGGGAAAGAAACTTTAAGAAGGGCCTCTAATCTCTTGTCCCCTAGGTCTTTAAAGACTGGGGCATCCTCAACTGTAACAACCTTAAGGCATTTTTGGAGGCAGGAAAAAGCTGCATCTACCACAAGCACTTTTTGCAGTAAGCCTCATTCACTATTGTGCAAACCTCTTTGGGGGACACATACACTGTGTATTCTCAGCTAAATCTTGTATTTCCTGTAGTAAAAGGGTGAACCAGAAAGGATCCATACGGTTTTAGTTTTGGGAAGGGATCCCATACTGGTGACCTTAGTTCCAGCAGATGGCAATGAATCAAATGTCAAACAGGAGTACACCTCAACACAAAACCTTGTAGAACTAAAAGGCAAAACTGCCCCACCCACCCCCAGTCTAGATAGAGTAAGTGTTAAAATCCCCCTTCAGCTTTTACTTGCATTGTCTCCCTATTAGAGAGATTTGACTTTGCTTCATGTCCCATATTGCCCAGCAAAGCGAGAATCCCAGAGTGTCTCCAGGGTCACCAGAACTAGTGTCCCCATTGGAAAAGTTTGCTTTACAAAATTTGCTCCAGGGTGGCACAAGCTCTTTCAGCACAGAAACTGCAATGCCCTTATAGAAAGAACATTCACAAAAGTAAGTGAATTAGTATGCATGACCTTGTAGTCTTCCATAATAACGATTCTTATCCACCATGCCAAGGCTGATTTGGAGGCCCGTTTCCCCATGCAAACAAAATGAACAAGACATATTATATGGAAGTCTCTTGTCACAACTAGGTAGGCTACAGGCATCTTCCAACAAATTGAAGCCCTTTTCTTTATCATTAGGTCAGTTGCAAAAGGTTGGTAAACAATATCCTGCACTCTGTTGGACACGGTTGCAAACTTAGGGAAGGATTCAGGGTTCTTAAGAACTGACAATCCCAAATACTGATACAGCAGTTCTTCAATAGAAAGGGCCTGAAGTTCACAGATTCTACAAACTGATGTAACGCTACCAAAAGGATAATCCTTAATGTTAGAAATCTCATGGAGACTTTAGCAAATCGCATGAAGGACACAGAAGGATACCACTCAAAAACCAACAAGTCCCACCTAGGACATCCTTGGATTAAAAAAAGATCTGAAAAATCTCAAAACAAGCAGCTCTTCCAGCAGCGACTTCTGAAGAAATGCTAAGGAATGCTACTTGTATTTTTAGGAGCGCTTAGGGCTAGACCATTATCTGCCCCATCC